TTAGACCAAAATTTATTCTGCTACATGTCTTTGCTAAAAAAAATCCTAATACGCGTAAATTAAATGGGTTACATGATAGTTATAGCGTTTACAAATAGCAGTATATATACTGGGTTTTACCCTGATGTGTGGCTTAAAGTGGAAGAGTAATAAGAGTATAATATATAATAATCACCATAAAAATACATCATAAAAAAAACACACAAGTTGTTAGCATCCTACCTGCCTCAAAAAATTTAATTTTCTTCAGACAGTTTTCTTTTAATATCCAGACAGCACAGCCAGGTTGTTACCTCACTTTCTTTACTACAGGTAAATAATTTTGGATAGTTTGCTTGCATACCTCAGTCCTTCTTTCTTCCAATAGTTATGCTGACATCCAGGTTTACAAAATCCATAGTAATTGTGCTATAAATCCTGTTCCTTAGTTTTTGAAGAAATATATTACCTGGAATTCATAAAGAAAGTAATAGACAATCTTTAGAAATTTGCCCTGCCTTCACAACAACAAATGTTGGTGCCTGGGACATAAAATGCTATACTTGTCATAAACAGGCACATGAATTTGTTGCACTGAGGCATGGTGGGCCATACTGGACAGGAAGACCTGTGCAAGGAGCAGTCATATTCAATGCCCTGCTCTGGACAGCGGAGTCTCTCTGAATGCCAGTTCAGAGTTGGTCTTAATTACCGCCAGTTTGCTTGTCTGCAAACTTACAGTAATTCTTTTAGAACGTGTCATTGACATAGCAGTACATTCTAAAAGTAATGCTAATAAAGAGCTACCTGAATTTGTCCCATGAGTCAGTAATCTGAACAAAACTGTTGCAATGCTTTCTTGAATTTGGAGCAGTAATTTTTTTATGAAGAATACTGCCATAAAAGCAACACAGCTGTTTTATTGAACCTTCCCCATTGTAGCTTACTTGCTACAATTATATAATAATGAACTTGACAATTCCCTAGTGGTGTCCTTCAATTTGTGCACAACTTAGGCAAGCCAAAGATTAATTAATTTTCTTTCCTTCCATCATGGGTGGAAGGAAAAAAAAATTGCTCAATTCCCCCATCAACACAGTCAGTGTTGATGGAGGAATGCCTACCGTGGACCTTTGTGTTCTGCTGCCAGGGGGCACGGGGATCCTTCCCAGCTGGCAGAACACAATGATTATTGCTAGCAGCTATAGCCACAGGCAGTCGGTTGTACACAAGTCGATTGATGGATCGACTTCGGAACAATCAGCCTGCCCATAGATGGATCAAATTTTGGCTGCTCCATGCTGAACCAGTTGACATTTGATCCATCTATGGCAGGCATTAGAGTCTATTGATATTACTCATCAGCAGTAATTTACCAACATTAGACCATATACTGTGAACAGATTGTTAGGACTAGTCACCTTTGCTCACTGATAGAAGAAGAGCATCCCTGGGGATAAAAACTGTGACCCAGGTTTTCTTTCTACCTTAGCTTTGCAGACTGCTGATAAATGAGCCCACATATTTTGTCTTTTGGCTCTCCTTCTGACACTTCTTTGACCTTTCCTGTCCATTAGCCTGGTTCAAATTTCAATTTCCCTTATACATGCAAATACTAACGTGCCAATTAACTTCTTCTCCTACTCAGAATATATTGTTGTAACTGGCCACCAACACCAACTGATCAAAGGAAATTGGAAATGTGATTTTCCTTTTCTTTCCTGCCTATATGCTTGTAAAAGTAATTCTGTCTGACAACACCGTAGAAGTGAAAAATATGCTGTTTCGAAGCTAATGCTCTGCATCAATGATCTCCCAAATCCTAGACCACATTCCTCCAGTTCAGATTAATCAGTGTACTCAGACTGCATGACACAGACCAAACTGTTCTTTTGTATATATAATGCCAGTGAATACATTGTCCTGAGTGATGTCCAAATATGGCTAAAGTGTCCAATTTTTAAAAGGGAAAAAGTCTAAGAAAACATATGCATGAAACTTAAAGGCAAGCAGGAGATGTGAAAATGAAAGACTTCCAAACTTCTGAACATCCAATAACATTCAATAGTTTTGATTTCCCACAATTAAGTAAATAATACAAGCCAAGAAACCCATAGATATAAAACATTCTTATGGCAGTTACCTTAGTGCCAAGTGCCGGAAATTCCCCAACAAGCATCTCTTGGTGTCACTTGTCATTAACTAGAGGCTCAAAGGGTAGAATTGGCATTAACCGTAAGACCTGGAAGTCACTTTAGTAATATGCACCTTTTGTGCAGACTTCATGGGAGGCAGGAGATGTCCAGGCTAGAAAAGCTATGATTACCTATAATGCTTAGGATTTTCAAGATTACAGGACAGAAGATTGGGACTTTCATAAAAATTCATAAGAGACTTCATTAATAGAATGAATTAGGCATAACACTATTACTGACAGCAGCAGTTGGCACTACTCTCTTTTTACCGGCACCAGAAGTAGATAATATACAGTACAACAGATCCTTTCGGGTCCCACATTTCTTGATTTCATTCACCTCAACTGTAGAGTAATAGTCTATGCATGCCCACTGTGTTATGTCTGCATCTGGTTCAGGTGACACTAAAGCAGTTTATAAGCTACAAATAATGATGATAAGTCATAGGTTTTAATTGATAGGTATTTTTAGGAAACTTTGTGTCAAGAAAAATTCGGATGTCCCCATGGGAAATGCACAGATGATTATTTGTTTTCCTTCTTTGTTAGAAAGAACTAAGTACCACGGCTTTTACTGCCCATGCATGCTTTTAAGGTTGGAATATGAATTTCCTAGGAATACCTAAATGGGGCAGCTATGCTCACTGCTGTCAAATGTATCTACTGCTTTGTCATTATTCTTCATATTTTAATTTTCAGATGCTTTTGTATTGATTTCAGAGATGTTCCAGGAGTTCTAATCTTGTTAGCAAATAAACTTTTATCTTTTATGATATTATCAACCTGTACTGTACATGTTTACCTTTCAGTAAGATATATATTAATATTTTTAGCACCACCCCATAGCAGAAATACTACTACAGGGTGGCAGCTGTGCACAAAATCATATATATATATATATATATATATATATATATATATATATATATACAGTTGTGTTCAAAATAATAGCAGTCAGACATCACTAACCTGATCAATCACTGATTTTGGTAGAAATGATATTTCTACATGGCAAATCATTTACTAGCAGGTGTAGTAGAGTAATAGAAATCCAACAGACCCAACAGTCATGACATGCATGCTACTGATTCTGTGTAATTGAATCACTAATTGAAAGGGGCATGTTCAAAATCATAGCAGTGTGGAGTTCTATTAGTGAGGTCATTCATTCTTTGAAAAACAGGTGGCAATTATTGCCCTTATTTAAGGAAGGAAGGCAGCAAATGTTGTACATGCTGGTTACAGTGCATTTCTCTCTGAAATTCTGAGGAAAATGGGTCGTTCCAGACATTGTTCAGAAGAACAACGTACCTTGATTAAAAAGGTGATTGGAGAGGGGAAAACATAGGGAAAACAAGAAGTGCAGAAAATGATAGGCTGCTCAGCTAAAATGATCCCAAATGCTTTAAAATGGCAACCAAAACCTGAAAGACGTGGAAGAAAGCGAAAAAAAACTACCATTAGAATGGATAGAAGAATAGCCAAAATGGCAAGGACTCAGTCAACAATCAGCTCCAGGAAGATCAAAGGTCTAAAGTTACCTGTGAGTACTGTTACAATTAGAAGACGCCTATGTGAAGCCAAGCTATCTGCAAGAAGCCCCCGCAAAGTCCCACTGTTGAAAAAAAGACGTGCTGAAGAGGTTACAATCTGCTAAAGAGCACATTGACTGGCCTAAAGAGAAATGGCGCAACATTTTGTGGACTGATGAAAGTAAGATTGTTCTTTTTGGGTCTAGTGGCTGGAGACAGTTTGTCAGACGACCCCCAAACACTGAATTCAAGCCACAGTACACTGTGAAGACAGTGAAGCATGGTTGCGCAAGCATCATGATATGGGGATGTTTCTCATACTACAGTGTTGGGCCTATTTATCGCATACCAGGGATCATGGATCAGTTTGAATACATCAGAATACTTGAAGAGGTCATGCTGCCTTATGCTGAAGAGGAAATGCCCTTGAAATGGCTGTTCCAACAAGACAACGACCCCTAACACACCAGTAAACGTGCAACATCTTCGTTCCAGACCAACAAGATTGACGTTATGGAGTGGCCGAATCTCTGATAATGAAAATTTTTAACAAAAAAAAGGAATCATAACGAAATGAAACACACATGTCTGTTGTGAATATGTGCTGAACAGAAACGGTGTAAAACCATATGAATACAAACACTCTACAAGTCCAAAGGAGATTATAATAAATACATAATTAAAGTCCACATGTAAATAAATGAGTCCACACATCCAGTGCTCAGTGTTGCATGCTCTTTCCAAAACAAAAGTATATTAGTGCTTCCAGGCGACCCCCCCAACTCCCTCCCGCACTCACTGGAGAAATCTGACTCCTTGTGCTAACAAGTGAATGTAAACTGCACCTGGTATCCTCAGAGATAGATGATTCTAATGATCCAGTGTCCTCCAGTACTGGTACTCCAACATGCTCATGTATCAACACAGGGATCCATAGTAGGCTGAGAGAAAAAAAAGGAAAGCCTTCCATGGTGAATATTGTTTATTAAGAAAAAAAGGTTAAAACAAATTAACTCACAGTATGTGTAATATGAATCGCATTAAAACCAGGAAGCACCGCATCATTGTGCACTCCAAACAGCTGAAATGACATCACCGGAAGCTCCTCCCAACGCGTTTCATCAACATAAGTGGACATCCTCAGGAGCTCCCGAGTTGGGAACTGATTATATGACCAGAGTGGAGCATCCTGAAAATAGGTAAGTATAGACATCATTCTTCTACAGGCTAGTTAGTGTAGGACTTAGAATGAGGTGGGAGCACATATAAGATTAGATTTAGGTTTAGCCCAGACCTCCACTTTAACCACTTGCCCTCCGCCTACTGTTTTTAAACAGCAGGGCGGTGGCACTCCAGGGGCGGGTTGGTGTTCATATTTCTAGTTGTGCACGCTCCCTGGGAGCGCGCGCAGCACCGTGATCCGGTGCCCGCTGTGTCCTCCGGACACAGTGAAACACCGATCGTCAGACGGGACCTCTGTACGAGGTCCCGATCATGTGATCACTGATTGGCCAATCAGTGATCACATGCAAAGTAGTAAGCAAGATGTCACTTGTGACATCATTGCTTACTACGTGTGAAATCTGTGAATGATCACAGAGGTCACATGGTACAAGGCTATTCACAACAGCCTTGTACCATGTGACAAGCTCTGACCAATCACAGCTCATACAGTATTTCTCAATGGCTGAAAGAATGCAGACAGAGAGAAAGAGAAATGATTGCTTTTACATCCTATATGGGTGTAAAAGCAATCACTGTAAAAAAAAAAAAAAAATTAAATCTTCTTCACCCCCCACAAGTAGTACAGTGTCACCATGGTGACACTGTACTGCTAGGGTGACAGTATGTAAAAAAAAAAAAAAAAACCATAAATAATAATATAAAAAAAAAATAAAAATGTAAAAAAAAAGTTTAAAAATTATAATTTTTGGTTATAAACTAATTTGGCTTATTATTTTTTTTTTACTAAAAAGATAACGGAATACATTTTGGCCAAGATTTATGATGAAATATTATTTATTTGCAAAATTTTATAAGAAAAACATTTTTTTCAAAATTTTTGGACTTTTTCATTTACATAGCAAAAAAAAATAAAAATCCAAGCAATGAATAAATACCACCAAAATAAAACTTTATCTGTCTCAAAAACATGGTAAAAAATTCATATGGGTACAGTGTTGCATGACCGCACAATTGTCATTCAAAGTGTGATAGCGCTGAAAGCTGAAAATTGCCCTGGACAGGAAGGGGGTAAAAGTGTCCGAACAGGAAGTGGTTAACTTTACATATTAGAGTAAAACTTCAAGTAGAACTAATTTTGGGGAGGGTTATAACCGCTTTCAGTTGTTTTGCCATCTGTGTCACATAGGGGAGATTTGCCTTCACTTCCTGCTTCATAGCAAAAAATCCCTCCAAAGTGAAACATTCCCAGGGTATCACCAGGGTCGACAGAACTAGTGTCCCCATTGGCAGATTCCCCCTCTATTACTGTTCTGGTGTCAACCAAAAATTTGGGATTTTAATTATACTTTCACTTTTGATGATAACAGTAGACAGGAGGAATAGAAAGGATGACTCTCCCTAATGGACAACAACAAAACTGGCAAATGTTCTAATCCTTCTCCCCTCTATCTAAAACAAAAAAGAAATGTAGGTTTTAGTTACTTTTTCAGTTTTGTTGTTATCATAAAAGAGAAAGTAAAAGTGTAAGCAGCAGTTTTTTAAATAATTTTGTTACATATTTTTAAGTTATGCTTTGTGAATGGAAACATATAACAAATATCAAGTAGATGTAATCCCAATTTGGCTGTAAAAGTGGAAATATTCTTAAAAATATAGGAATCTTGGTTCATTTCATGGATAATGCTTTTTAATATGAGAAATCAGCAGCCATAATTGGCCTGAAGATATCATAGCCCTGGGAAAGATGCACCTCAATATCTATGTCTAAGACCAACAAGCTAATTCACTAAAAGCTGCATTGTACAGAACAGTGAACACAAAGGCCTGTTTATCAAAATGACTTTGTTTCAGGGTGCCTGTAGGTAATTTTTTATAATGGCAATAACAGTCTTGATGCTTAGGTTCAAAGAAAATCTGTCACTAAGTACCATCCCAATTGCCATTCTTTAACTGTTATACTACACACTCCGGGACAGACTTCATTTTTAGTTAAGCTGAATAGATTCAGTTTTACTACCCTAGAATAATTACAGTGTCAGAGGTAACTTTCATTTGAGCTGCCTCACATAGGTGATTTGCTTTATAACCGATTCCCTTTAATGGCACCGCAATGTAGGCAAAGAAAAATGTCTATAAAAATTAGCTTCAGGATGAGTAGGAGACAACGTCTCTAACATAAAATAGAAGGATGCTATAGTCCAAAGCCAATGTTAAAGTGTTACTAAACCCAGGACCCTGCATTCACTATATCTGGTCTCCCACAGTACACAGAACATGGAAGTGCAACTATTTTAGTAAATATAAACTCCTAAATACCTTTTCTCATCAGCAGTTAGCAGTCTTGTGACTTCTATTAGTATCCAGCAGATTACTGGTTACAGCTTGTAGGAGGAGTTTTCATTTTGCTCTAGGAGGATGCAGAACCCCTGACCTCTGTCTGGGCAGTGCTGATCGGCCCTGTGCTGATCATATGCACTCTCCCAAGAAAAAAAAACCTCTCTAGAAATACACATCAAACTGAGCATGTGCAGAGTGACTCCATGAATCCACACAATATGTCTTATCAGGAGATAAGAGGGGGACACTGGAAAAAGGGGAGGATCAGAGAAGTCTGGATCAAAGAGCGTTTTTACACAATGCAGAGGAATAACCTTCTAGGTTCCACAGTGAATATAACAAGCATGCTTTACTGTACATACAGACTGATTTTATTGTTGTTGGTTTAGTTACACTTTAAGATCCAAGCAGACATAAGCTGAGAAGCAAAAACAATAAGTAATTTATGAAGAACAACACTACACTGCTGAAGATGGGCACTAGTGGATTGGATGTCAACTGAATAGGCTAGAAAATGTTGGACAATTTGCCAATAAAAACTGAGCTCAGCCAGTACTGAACAGCACTCCTGGAATAGATGATCTGCACTGTCCAGCGGTTGGATATGTTGAGTGAAAAGCAACACTGTATCCTGTTAGATTACATTTAGTAGAGTACTTACTCAGTTAAAAACTATCTGAATTTGTATGTATATATTTATTTTGTGGCATTATTGTAATATTTATGTTTCTTTTATTATCTAGGTAATTTAAGGTTAGCATTGTTTTCTTGTGGTAAGATTGTGTGGCTTTAAAAGAGTAGTATTTCTTCCCATAGGTGAAAAAGCAAGCTTTAGAAGAAAGAAAGCCAAAAGTCACATGATATTCATGATCTCAACCGTATCAACTGTGAAAATATCATTATATGAGTATACATACCCTGGGAAAGCTTATAAACATACTGTACATGTACTTTGTACTGTATGTACTGCCAATTGTATGCTGTTCTGGCTGTAGCAAAGGCTGTGACAGAGACATCGGAACAGCCTTTTTCAACCAGGGTGCCCAGAAACCCTGGGCTGCCTTCTGGTATTTTCAGGGGTGCCTTGGCAAAATGCCTAAAAAGTGCCCAAAACTGTGTACAAACCAGCAGGTGCCTTTTAGTTGCACAAAGACACAAGTTTTCATTGTGCACCATTACAACCTTCTAGTTGCCAAAGTTCTAACCACCAATTACATCATTGGTTGATAAGGAAGACATTGAGTGCATACACATCATCCTAGTTAGCCCCTCTCCTTCAGCAATGAGCGAGGGAGAGAAGTGAAACATTGGAATACTGGTCAGTACCAGTGTGCAAGGGTATTTGCTTTGGAAGAATAATTCAACTCTAATGTTAGGTGCCCTACATACTGTATATGGATGTTGCTGTGTTATGTAAACCTATTAGTTTCGTTTTTTCCATTGTAGAATGGGGTGCCTTGAGATTGTGCAACATTTTAAAGGGTGCCTTGATTGAAATAATGGTTGAGAAACACTGCATTAGAATGTAGACTGGTGTGATATCAGGGATAGAATTTACTGTTTTCTGCTCTCAGAAACATGTAGGTGTTATATGAATGCAGGAATAATATAACATGTTTGGTAAATGTTGATCATCACTTCCTAAATTCTACAAATTGTACTGGACATAAGAAGTTCTTTGTACTGCCTAGCATCGGTCATACTTTGCACATTTGTAAAGTATATATATATATATATATATATATATATATATATATATATAACAGATTAGATTCCCACTTTACAATAACATTTTTAATATAAATTAAAAAAATCATTCAACTGATGGAATTCCATCCACCATCCAATCTACCTTTTCCCATGCAGTGATATTTAAACTGAATGCTGGGTGGGTTAAAAGTATACTCATACAGTGGGCCCCCCACCCACTCTATTGGATAAATGCTTGTTTTGATCTAGGGATAGAAGAATAAGCAATCTTCTCTGCTCTGTGACATGCTCGATATGTGGGTGGACTCTCAGCATCCTTATGTACAATGCAGGACTGCTGGTCCTGCACTGAACATATTGACATCAGAGAATCTGCAACTGGTCAAGCAACAAAAGAAGATGCTTTGGGTGTCTGGTTGTACAGCGCGAAGGAAGCTAAGCAAGGAATAAGGTATGTAATTATTATTTTCCTTTATCTTCTAGACAAAACAAGCATTTAACCCATGCAGTTGGGTGAGGGGGCTATGCATGGGTACATTTTAAAGCAGCTTGGTGATTTAAAGTGATTCTAAAGGCTTATTTTTTTATAGAAAAAAATAACAAAAACGTCTATACTTACCTGCTCAGTGCAGTGGCTTTGCACAGAGCAGCCCAGATCCTCCTCTTCACGGGTCCCCCACTGGTGCTCCTGGCCCCTCCCTCCTGTCAGGTTACCCCACAGCAAGCAGCTTGCTATGGAGGCACCTGCTGCTCAGTGTGTTCATTCACACACAGAACCGCAGCTTGGCCCCCACCCCCCTCTGTTCTCATTGGCTCACTGGCTGTGATTGACAGCAGTTGGAGCCAATGGCTCCCGCTTCTGTCTCAGCCAATGAGAAGAGGGAGTCCCAGGATAGCCAAGACTCCAGTGCACATCACTGCATCGAGGGGGGGCTTAGGTGAGTATTGGGGGGAGGATTGGGGGGGATGCTGTACACAGAAGGTCATTTACCTTCATGCATAGAAGGTAAAAAACCTTGAGCCTTTAGAAACACTTTAAGGAAGCTCTATGTACAACCTTCCTTCCCTGCCTTCCCTACAGGCCTTCAGGGAGGAATACACTATGGTTGGAAGAGAAGTGAATGTAAAGTATTACTGAAACGCAACCTCCTGAAATGGTGTAGCACAACCTAGTCATAAATAGGTGGGAACACTTAGCGGGGGGCAGTGATCTGGGATCTGAAATGTTTACCAATAATTTGCAGAGAATGAGCAGAAAATTAATCAACTTTAAAAAAGGCAGCTAAATTCAAAGAGTGAATGCTTTATGGAATATCTAGAAATGGTATTTGTGTCAAAGTCATATCCTCAAAAATGTACCAAGAATTTTGTAACAAGAATTCCTCC